AGGATTAGTTACATTATGAAAAGTAAACAGAAAAGAAAAGTAAACTTTAAATACAAAAGAATCAAGTAACTAGGCAGTGAAGTGATTGGAGCATTAAAATACAAAGAACTGAACTGATTAATAATAGAGGAAATCGAGATTAAAAAAACTGCTTTGTTGTTTAACATCTGTCTTCTCCACTGAACATATTGGACAGATATAATCCACAACTAAATTAATATTTTTAAGGAAAGTATCTCAATTAAGAAGTGACAGCACAATTTAATTAAAAAGTCACCAAGTCTGAGAGGCACGTGCAGGTGAATTGTAAAATTCCTGAACTTTTAGCAACACGATACATAACAATACAAAAGTTAGCTGCCTATTTGAGTATTGGAAAATATCTTAGATGACACTGAGTTGTAAAAAGAGCTGATGGCAGGAGAAAGAAATTAGTGGCCAGTTAGCCTGAAGGTCTTTTACAAGTTGCATTATGAAAGAAAAAAAAACAATTGTGAAAGACTTACTAACCACTCATCAGAAGGAAATCTTGCCTCGCTAGCTTATTGGAGTTCTTCAAGGGCATAAGGACATAGGTTGCAATGATCCAGTATAAATTGGGTACTTGATTTTTCAAAAATCCCTCAAAAAAGCCCATTGCCAAAGCTTCCTGGGCAAACATGGTAGTCATAGCATTAAGGGATGGGTCCTTTTAAGGCTCAAGAACAGTTAAAGAATGGGACACAAATATGTGACTAAATGAACAGTTTTCAGAACGAAGGAAAGTAAGTGATATCCCAATGTTATGTTGCAAAAGGCATTGAGAATAAAACTATCAGCATTGCAATGCTTTAAGAGAGATCTGTGGTGTAGGGCATGCATGTGATTATTTCATTCCAATGAACTATAGCCAAGAATTGAAAAAGATATAGGATGAGCAACCAAAATAATCTAGCAGTTGGAATAGCAAACTTTTAAGGAAAGGCTAAGTGGTTAGTTTGAGGAAAGAAAGCCGAACCCATCAGAGAACTTACAATATTGGTCATGATGGTGGTGGTGGAATAGAAGAGGGAGAGATATTTCATCTTTTGTAGTTCAGCAGTGATACATTTATGCAAGAATTTGCAAAATTCACTACCAGAAGATCTGAGAATGACCACTTAGACGGGTTGTAAAAAGGATTAAATAAATTATCGAGGGATATGTTTTTAATGGCTATTACCCATAACAGCTACACAGAACTATTAAAACACCATCTGCCATCGAAATACCAGAGAATAGGAGTATTGATATTATACTCTGTTAGTAGATTTCTTAAAGCCATTTTGTTGACTACTCTGTGAAAGAAGATGATAGATAAACCTTTGCTCTGAGTTTCGATGACCTACAAATCTCTTTAAATGTATAGGCTTGCACACTGGTTCCTATGACCTTCTGTACCTTCTTGGGACAGTCTCTTTTCAACTGACTTCATTTCAGTAACATAACGCCTCACATGGAGATACAAGAGACCAGGCTGTATCTGTTCAATTAAAACACATAGGAGAACAACCCCATTCATATAATATCATATTGTATCCTTTATTTTGTGTTTTACTCATGATTTGGAGGGTGGGATTCTATTGACTCTAGTGAATGAAGTGAACACTGTCTGTCTCTTTGTATTGTAACAGCTGTACAGTACTGTTTAGATTAACTGTGGCTTGTGTTGTCTTTGTGAGTCTACAAGTAAGTCAGTCCATCTGACAAACAGCTATAAATCTATCACCATCCAAATCTAAGAAGAAAATTCAATGGAGTAAAAATATTTGAGGAAGTGATTGTGTGACAAAGTGATGGCAGGGAAGAAGGCACATTCATGAGCTTGTTTGAATGAGTACTGATCCAAGATACATAAAACTATCTTTTGGCATTTCATATTTAAAAGTCATCTGTGCTTTTTGAAATAGCAGCAACTGTTGGGATTTTTCTCCAAGCAAATATAACAAAGTAAGGCTATAAGATATATTTAGTGATAGGAGAAGCCATATGCAAGGACTATGTGCTTTAGTATCCATGGTTGGTGGAATCAGCACTTTGTTCCCTTCTTCTTTTTGCTGCACTTTGTGACAAAAATCTATTCTGGAATAGGGATATTAAAATATGACAATTTTGTTCTTGAAAGTGAGGATGGATAATTTCCAAGGATTTCACCATAATGTAGAGGAAAAAATATTTTTGTGTAGTTCTTGATTGGCATTCACACACCATGAAGCATTTAGAGAAATTATTGGCTTCTACAAAAATGAGAATTGTGAACATTTGTATTAAAAAAAACACAATGTCCAGAGAGCCACATTGTGCCGTTTTCTATATAAAACTACAACAATGCTGAATAACAAACCTCTAATGCAGTGGTTTGCAACCTGTGGTTTCCCAGGTGTTTTGGCCTACAACTCCCAGAAATCCCAGCCAGTTTACCAGCTGGGGTCCCACAGGTTGAAAATCTTGAACACCAAAAACATTGAGAAGCAAAAAAAAAAATCTTCCACAACTGAACTATTTGTTGCAAGTCTTTTTAGTGTAAGTGTTTTGTGTGTGAGATTTTTTTTGTATTTTTTGGAAAAGGAAACAAGACTTTTTCATAAAAAGAAACACTTGGCTATCTGGAGGCAGTATTTTATTTGCACAAAATAATATTCATGCAACTCACATGTACAATGTTTACCAAAAATGTGTATCACTATGCTCCAAAACACTTTAGAATGTGTGAATGTTGGGAGCTAACTTAACAATTTTTTACCACACTATTATTCTTCCTTGCTGAGCTTTCTGAGCAGGTCTAGTGGAAATCCATTTTCAATCAAGAAATGGATGATGAATACCTTTTTTGATGAACAACCATGGAATAATGGGACAAGGCATATAAAATTGAATTAAATAAGGGCTGTTTTATTTGACTAAGAACCTATTTTAATTGAAATTGATCCTGGTAAGGAGCAACTGTGGGGAGCACTCTCATGAAAACTCAGGCCCCTTCTACACTGCGCTATATCTCAGGATCTGATCCCAGATTATCTGTTTATCCCATATTATATGGCAGTGGAGACTCATATAATCCAGTTCTAAGCAGATAATCTGGGTTCAGATTCTGCAAAATAGGGCAGTGTAGATCCAGCCTCAGCTGAGGTTACCTGTCTATTCCAGACTACCTGCTCAACCTCACCTAGGGTGAAACACCTGAGTCTTGAGAGAATTCCAATAGCTGAATTGTTCTATGTCCAGATCTTTTCTGGAAGGGGCATGGGAATGGCCAGGTATTAAATAGCCTCTGGCTACACACCACAATGTGATATCTTCATTTTGATTTCACTGAATCTAAGGGCCACTTTTTCCATTTAAATGGCTTCAAAAACAGGGTGTGCCTTAGACTTGATGGCACCTTATATTTCCTGGGTTTTTAAAAATCTATCCTATGCTGGGAGGGGAGGAGGAGAAATAAGGGCCCTACCTTCAGCAGCTCTGCCACCATTTTGTCCTCCTTGCTGTTTATCATCTGGCTGGGCTAAGCACCACTTCCTTTGCCCCTTAACAGGTCCATAGAGTTAATAAATTCATACCGACAAGATGATATTCAGATCTCTTCATACTTCCTCCTTGCCCCACAAGAAAGATTGTACTACAAAGCCGCATTGAACCCCCTGCCCTGCCGTTGCCCAAAAGGTGTTGTGCATGCAGAGGAAATTCCAAAAAATATTGTAAGAAAATTGGTTCCCCCCCTCCTAAAATTGAAGCTAAATTGATGGTGCCTTAGATTTGATGAAATACAGTATTATAAATTCATCTGGTAACTATCTCTCTCAAAATACATGAAAATAAAAAAGGAAAATACCAAAATACCAGTGATGTTCTGCAACTCTGCTTTTGTAAGCCAGCGGATTTAAGCACCGGGATTGTGGCGCAGCTGGCTGAGTGTCAGCTGCATTAAGATCACTCTGACCAAAAGGTCATGAGTTCGAAGCCAGCCCAGGTTGGAGTGGGTTTCTAAACAATTGTGTAGCCTGTTGTCGACCTTTGCAACCCGAAAGACAGTTGCATCTGTCAAGTAGGAAAATTAGTTACCACCTTAAAGTGTGGGGAGGCTAAATTAACTAATTTATGAGGCCATAAAAAAGAGACTCCAGCAAAGCACTCCAGCAAAAAACCATGCGGGGAATGCGGAAGTACTTCATCAGTGTCGCAGCTGGACGATGAAAGCGACAGCTCCCCTGGCGGCCAGAAAAAGTTATATAGCCTCTGTGTATGTCTGTATATGTTGTGAGTTAAATTTGGCATTGAATGTTTGCCATATATGTGTACACTGTAATCCACCCTGAGTCCCCTGCGGGGTGAGAAGGGCGGAATATAAATGCTATAAATAAATAAATAAATGTAACAATTTTGGGCAAAAGGTAGGATCATCTACTACTACTACCACCACCACTACCACAACTAATAATAACAACAGCTGCTTGTGGAAACTGTTGTATAATTAGGACAATAGTACGTTTACATTGCAAGAATGATTCACACCTGAAAGTGTTGCAGTGGTTTAGGAAGTGGAATATCCTAGCATTAAGTCACTTAGGGAAAAGAATTACTATGCATTCACCATTATTAAGGTTTGCATATCTGGATAAATATACCACAGACATGTAGGGATGATGCATGGCTCTATAAAAATACCCACTGAAATACAGATCTATGGTTATGTGCTCCATACTATATATGTTTATTAAATTACACACAATATTTAAATTTATATCTCCTGTGACAATAGTAACCAGACTCGAAACAAATAAGTAAAATATGAATATGTCACAAGTTCTGCTGAATTATTATTTTAATCATGATGTTTACTGAGACATACATTCTGCAGAATGAAACTCTGTAAGTAAAGCACTCTGTCTTTCTATTTGCTAATACACTTCTTTTCAACCATAGTGTGCTTCAAAATGCTATTTTCCATAAAGGAAATCTAAAGGTTCCTTCTGAAAACTTACCTGGTTATAGTTCTGTATAGCAGATCGGACTTGATTGCTGCGTGCTGGGAGCTGTGACGTTGCTGTTTCCCCAAGGGCAAGGGTCTGGTTGCTGTGGTAGCTAGATGGATACTGGAAAGACCCTTCAGGTTTGGAATTAAGCTGAAGTGCACTCTGGGAGAGGAGGCTTGGCCCTGTGTGGAAAGTTAAGTTGGAGTAGTCAGTGAGCAGCACATTGAAAAAGATAATGCATATACTTATCCAAGAAGCTAGCATTTCGCATTCCTTATACAATTTCTCATGTCTCCCTTTTGTCATTCCAGCAGTAATAAAAATAATAATAAATAACAAAACTTTATTTATACCCCGCTCCATCTCCCCAAGGGGGACTCAGTGTGGCTTACATGAGGCCACGCCCATCAGTACAGTACATACATTGTAATACAAAAACATAACAATACCAACAAATAAAATACATAAAATGCAAAGAAATATAATAAACGACACAAACAATATAGAGCAAGCAATTAAAAACAGGATTTCACTGGGCAGGGCCACATTCAAGGCTAAAATTTAAAAAACACTGGGAGATAGGACGATGTATATTATCAGGATGAGGATCTGAGAATGAGGGAGGATTCAATTGCATGAACCATAAATAAAGTGCTTCTAAGGACATTTAGTGCAAAGTTTGGTCAGGGAGTTTCATGACATTCAATCACTGAAGGCACATTGGAATAGCCAAGTTTTCAGATTCCTCCTGAAGACTGCTAGCGTGGGGGCTTGCCTAATATCTCTGGGGAGTGAATTCCAGAGCGGGGGGGGGGGGGGGCACCACAGAGAAAGCCCTCTCTCTCATCCCCACAAGTCACACTTGAGATGCGGGCGGGAGCAAGAGAAGAGCCTCTCCGGAAGATCAAAGCGATCGCATGGGTTCGAAAAAGGAGTAACAGTGGATCATGTAACATAGTAGGAGTTCTACTCCTTAAACACCAGCATTTGCCAGAATATTACACAATTTAACCTAGTGGTGAGAAGATAAACTCCAAATTGTGGTATAATATAAAGTATTGGAGAGTACTAAATATAATGTGACCTTTCTATAATTCCTGGACCTTATGTGGATATGCAATACCATGGATAACAGCAAACTGTATTGATATGAAAGACTTCTAACCCAAGAATATGTCAGAGTCAGAAAAGGCAGATAGTGGTCTCATCTGCCATTTCTTTTATTTCTCTTCAGTTTCATATTCATAGATAAATAGAAAGATAGATAGATAGTGTGTGTGTAATGTGTTTTCCCAGTTTTTCTTTAATGATGCCAACAGAATATCATGGAACAAGAGTCATGCTATGCACAACATGAAAGCAACAGATCTTGGGATTGGGATGAAAGAGCAGAAGACTTAACATGGTATGCTCCTGTGTTTATTAGTATGTTCCATTCCAACCTATACACCTGGATGTGCCAAGAGTCTTGTAGTTATATATAACTTGAAAATAGAACAACTGGGTTAAAACAGGACAGGGCTCCTTTAATTTAACACTTGTGTAAAAAAAGCAATTTTAGCCAGTACACAGTCAATATGGCTGTGTTTAATGATTTCACCTGATTATCCTACTTGAAAACCATTCTGTCTTCTATTTGCATTGCTGCTTTGTTTCCTAAATTCAAGTTTTTCTTGAAACAAACAAATGTCCACAAAGCAAAGAAGCACCACAGAGCAATATGAGGATATAAACCTGTAGAAGCAACAAGTAAAAGATCATCAGTTTCTATGACAAGTTGTAGAATATGTACACATCTCAAAGAATTTAAATATACAGAATAAACAAGAATGAAACTATTTCATAGAGATGGGAAGAAGAGGAAGTAGTGGAATAGATAGTGAAATCATGGAACAGCTACTGAAAAACTTCAAATTTTTTGTTTCCCATGTTTTAATGGTATAACAAAGTATAATGATATAACGAAGTATTGCTATATGTCACAAAGTAGTGACATATAGCAATAAAAAGTACCTTGCACTATTAAGAATAACAAATGGGAAAAATATTTAACCACCCCATCTCAAGTATCAGAGGCTAAAAGAGGTACTCAGTTTACTGTTTCTATTTTCACAGCACCCAGAAAGCTCCTTTTGGGTTCATACTGAAATCTGGAAATCTGCCATCCCACTGATATTGCAACCACCACTGCAACCACTGTAGCTTAGAAAAGAGGAGTTTTATAGCAAAAGGATGATAAAAGAAAAATATTAATGGGAATAAAGTTGGTGATATATGATCCCGCTATAATAGGTAGAAGGGGTTCAAGTATTTCTAGATTTTTGACAATAACATGATACCCATTCTGAATATTTTATTTATTTATTTTTATTTTTATTTATTTATTTAATACACTTGTATACCGCTAATATCTCAGCCTAAGTCGGCGACTCATTGCGGTTTACAACAATTGAAAACAATATACAATTTAAAACAACAACACATAGACAATACAAATTATTGGGCCACCAATAATAATACCATGTATCTCGTCACTAAAATCACAGTCCAGAATTCGTCATCCATAATTAACCAGTCCTTAGTCCATAAAATTCAGTGATAACAAACTAACCGAATGCTTGTTTACACAACCATGTTTTTAATCTCTTCCGAAACACCATCAGCGAAGAGGCTGATCGTATCTCTATAGGGAGGGTGTTCCAAAGCCGAGGGGCCACCACAGAAAAGGCCCTGTCTCTCGTTCCCACCAGCCGCACTTGGGAAGCCGGTGGGATAGAGAGCAGGGACTCTCCAGAAGATCTTAGGGTCCTGGTGGGCTGATAGGCTGAGATACGTTCGGATAGATAAGTTGGGCCAGAACCGTTTAGGGCTTTAAAGGCCAAAACCAGCACTTTGAATTGAGCCCGGTAGCATATCGGCAGCCAGTGGAGCTGGTGCAGCAGAGGAGTTGTGTGCTCCCTGCGCCCCGCTCCAGTTAGTATCATGGCTGCCGCCCGTTGGACTAATTGGAGCTTCCGGGCTGTCTTCAAAGGCAACCCCACGTAGAGAGCGTTGCAGTAATCAAGGCGGGATGTAACCAGAGCGTGGACTACCGTGGCTAAGTCAGACTTCCCAAGGTACGGTCGCAGTTGGCGCACAAGTTTTAATTGTGCGAATGCTCCCCTGGTCACCGCCGAAACCTGGGGTTCCAGGCTCAGCGATGAGTCCAGGATCACACCCAAACTGCGAACCTGTGTCTTCAGGGGGAGTGCGACCCCATCCAACACAGGCTGTAATCCTATACCCTGTTCGGTCTTACGACTAACCAGGAGTACCTCTGTCTTGTCTGGATTCAATTTCAATTTGTTCGCCCCCATCCAGACCGTCACAGCGGCCAAGCACCGGTTCAGGACCTCGACAGCCTCCTTAGTAGCAGGTGGAAAGGAGTGACAGAGCTGGACATCATCTGCGTACAGATGACATCTCACTCCGAAACTCCGGATGATCTCGCCCAGCGGCTTCATGTAGATGTTAAACAACATGGGAGACAGTATTGAACCCTGAGGAACCCCACAAGACAAAGGTTGTGGGGTTGAACAGGAGTCATAATAATAAGCAGCAATAACAGCACTAGATTTGCCATCTGCATTTTACATGTTCTTCTCCTCTGCCTCCCGTGTTCCCAGTTGCTGCACTATTAATCGGAAGCAGCTTTCGAAACAATGTTATTTTAAACATTTTAATCTAACCAATATGTGGGCCCTTGTTATGATGCCTGTGGACATGGATGTTAAACCTCAAATATATAGGCATATATTTTGGATGCTAAACTCCAAATCATACATTCTTACTTCATCCCAAAACTTGCAGATTTAGATCTATGTCAGTTTTTTAATGTTCTCATTCTCAGGGCAAACCTCCAGATTCCAGATTGTCTGTAGGGTCAGAAATAGGCAATACATTGATAAGTAAGCTGTCGTATTAACATAATAGTAACATAATTCTTTAAGATAAAGTTATTGAGATTTTTGATTTTTAAAAGTATGGCTAGGACTTAGAAAGCTATTCCATAATTAGGTTTATTTATTTATTTTGTCACCATCAAATAACCCTCTTCTTAATGCGCACACATCTAACCTCATTTAATGAAAATACTCAGTGCAGGGCCTCCAAGGGAGATCTGAAGGTTCAGGCTGTACTGGACAAGGTGAACTTGCATGTTAACTATTCTCAAGTCATTTAGACCTTTAAAAATTAAGATCAGAGCAGGAACCAAAATTTTAATCCCCAATTAGAGTAGACCCTTTGAATAAATGAAACCAGAGTAAACCAATATTAATGCAAGTTATAATAATAAATAATACGTCTTTATTTATATCCCACTTTTCTCCCTAATGGGGCCCAAGTTCCATTGATTCAGTGAGGGGTAGTCTAGTTAGGACTAACAGCTGGATCCAAGATAGCAGAGGGAATTATGTGGGTCTCCAGATGTTGCTGGACTGTAAGGTCCAAAAGGCCTAGCCAGAATAGCCAATGGTGAGTGGATGGCTGCAATACAATACATTTGGAGGACCAGAGAATTTACACTCCTAATTTAGGAGAAATATTTTATATTGTGCTTAGAAACTGAATGGGGATCAGAACAGCTGAGAAAAAAATACAACGATAATGCAGTCAGAATCCAGAGTCTGTGTTCTGTACCAGCTTGAGCTTCCAAGCCATTTTAAATATAGAGCACATGTAATGCTGGAGTATTATAACTGGCATGTATTGTCTTGGATGTTTCTAATGGGAATTTATGCCTTCAAGTTAAGATGCCTTCTAGCTTGCTTTGCTTAGGAACATCTGATGAAATTCAGAGGTCCTTAGCAGTCATCTCAAGGGCCACAAATCCTGTAATGTTAATGGCACACTCTATGTTAGGTCAACTTACACATTTCTCAATAACAAATAATTGCAAAATTTGTATTTTAAACTTTTCCTGAGGCTGTAAATCCAACATACTGAAAGCCAGTATTCTCTGTTAGTGTCTGGATTGTTAGTTCCTTCCTTCAGAGGGATTTCCAGTTTTTTGAAGTATCTTTAGAAGGTGGGAAGTGTTGGAGAGGGGAGATTCAGGGTATGCATGGGCTGCAGGAGGGTGAGCAATTTACAATGTTTCAATGGCGGCAATGGAAGCACTTACATAAACCTTATGATCTTC